GTTTTTTTAGGTTCACTCCGAATGTTTACTAGGAAGATTTAGCAAAAATAGCTCAGCTTGTTACAGATACGTTCCAGGCTGGCGTTCCGGCACAAGTCTAAACAGTTTTTTTCCCCGAAGGATGTAGGACAACAGTAGCTTAAGTAGTGGATCTTTCACGCCCCAAGCCCCAGTATTCTGTCGTACGAGACCAGTGTTATCAGGGTTTTTGGTTGGAAAAGTAAGATAGACAGTGAAGGACGGTTCTAGAAGTGTAAATTGGTAAATTTGGTTGAATTTGTTTGCCGATGCTACTATATAGCCACGGATTAGAGCGCGTTATTCGAAAAATTTGGCAGAAAACAGCATTTGATAAGTAAAGGGTATTTGAATAAACAGGGAGGCGCAAGTTTGTGACAGGTCAGGAACCCGTAGCATTACTAGCTAAAATGCATATAGTACTTTTTAAAGTAAATTCCAGCATTCCAGCATAGTTCTGCAGCGCGTCGTCGACGCAGCACTGATTAAAACCACGATATGAATGCGGTTTACCATGATAAAATTAGTTGTACGACTTTCCTTCACTGTTTTCCCTACTTCTCCATCCATGAAACCACTTTATAACACCGGTCCCGTACGACAGAAAGCTGGGGCTTGGGAGTATATAAGGCCCACTAGTTAAAATACCTTTGCCGGATGTAGTCCAATTTCCTGCATTTATTTACCTAGTGTGGTCTGAAACTGGAGTTCGTACGCCCTGAAACACACGGGGAACGCTAGGAGACCAATGATGCGCCAAAGTCCGCACAGCTGCGCTATACAGTGGAACAACATCGTCGACAATCGCGCGCCTAGGCTTTCAGCTAATACCTGTGATAGATAGATCATTGCGTATCGGAATTCAATCATTGCCTGAGGAGATTTGTCGTATGCCGTGCTGGAAGTTTACTCACAACATCATTGAATACAGTTCTGCGAGTGCTGCAAACAAAATCCCTAAATTTGTAAATGTTTGATTATTTCTCCCATACCAGCGGGAACGCAT